GAGAGAGAAAACAAGACAGAGGACAGACAGCAAAGAAAGTAAAAAGGAAAGACAAAAAGAAATGAAAGAAAGAAAAATGAAAGAAAAGAGAATGACAAGACAGACAAAAAAGAAAGAAAGAAAAAATAAAAGATAGACAGAGCACAGACAACAAGGAAAGACAGAAAAGACAAAAAAACAGAAAGAAAGAAAAAAGAAAGAAAGGTGAAAGAAAAACGAAAGAATGCAAGGAGAAAAAGCAACGAAAGAAAAAGAAAAAGAAAGAACTTTGCTGTATAAGCCCTGCTGTTTTTTCACAGTGAAGTAAGTGCCTCTTGGAGACTCTTGAAGCCACACACACACACACACACTCAGAGCTCTTTGCACATTATAAAGCTGATGAAGTGCTGAAGTGCTGAGAGGGTGCAGATGCTTGTGATCGATGGTGCTACTGCACAAGTAAATCAAGTGTTAATCAAAAGTTAATCTACGATACTGCAGTGTTTTTTTTCCAGAGATTTTCACATTCTCTCTCCCTCTGGCCCCTCTCTCTCTTTCACTCTCCCTCTGTCTCTCCCTCTCTGTCTCAGTCAGCAGTCACAAACAACCAATTTATTTTTTTCAGCACACACGCACACACACACACACACACACACACACACACACACACACACGCACACCCACACACACACACACACACACACACTCTCACCCACACACACACACACACACACACACTCTACACACACACACACAGTGCAGACTGCCCCACCACATAAACAGGGCTATCGAAAGGATGTGTGTGCCTTAAACAGAGAGCAGTGTGGAAGTGGTGTGTTTTGTGTGTATTTATGCGTCATGCAAAAAGTGAAAATAAAAAGAAAAATTTAATAAAAATCATAATCATATAATTATTACGGTTGACTATCCCTCTCTTCCTCTTTTTTTCCTGAATGAAAACTGCTCTAATTAAAACAGGCCCAATTATCAGTTTATCCCTGAACTGGCTCAGCACAGCGCTGTCAGACCAACACTGACACCTGCTGGGCGAAGTGCGTAAATACAATTATGAACGAGGCCAGGCTGCCGTGAAGCGCAGGTTCCCTGACCAGAGTTCTGCCCCACGAAGCGGGATTTATGGGCTCTTTCGAGACGAGCGAACTGTGACAGTGTGCAGGATATTTTCCACTGTGGAAAAGCAACAGGAGAAGAGAGAGATTATCCAAGAGTTTTATGAACTCTTTCACTCTCAGCTCAGATCTCTCTAACTCAGTCTGAGCTGATTTTCGAGATTCAGCTTCACACGAGGCGAAGCACAAAACAAACATGCCGAGTCTCTTCAAGAGCAAACAAGGTCTCCGTTGCTCCTCACAGGACGGACAAACGGTGACACTGGGCTAGTGTCCATTTTGGAAAAGTGAGAGTGGCGTTAAGATCAGAAACTCTGAGTGCTTCCAAACAGGCTCCAACTCAGATGTTTTTAACCAAATTTGCGCTGCTTTTGGAGATTCTGATCCTGTTAGCGTTTGTGGAAAAGTGTTGTATACTGGAACTGGAACTGTGGTCGCATACTTCAAAATCTCTCCCGACTTAGGACGTCATCCGGGGAATTTTCGTGTACTGCATTTTTCATAAATTGAAAAAGGGTATTTGACAAATAAATTTGGAAAATACATTTAAAATGCATCTCAAAAATATACTTAACAAATACATTCTTTGGCCATTTTCATATATTGCAAAAATAAATTTGATAAATACATATGGATTTATCAAATATGGATGTTTTTTTTCATTTAATGAGAGGAGGAACAAGCAGAAGCCAAGCCTCGAATACGCCCCACTAACATACAAGAATACTGTAGGAATCACTCGTCATTCAGCTTCGGCTCCTGTATGAGGTGGTGGAACTGCCTTTGTTGTCATTTAGTTGCAGTGCTTAAAAGAAAAACGATGAATTAATCGTCGCTGCTACATAAAGAATCCATTTCTTCTTCCTCTGTCATGTTCTTCTCACGTTTCAGAGTGTTTAGATAAAAATGCCTCGGACTTGGTGTGAAGGTGCCACTATGTTAAAAATCGCATCTGTTTTTTTTCGTCTGAAAAAAAGTACTTGGTGTGAAAATGGCTTTATTCTGCACGCCTAACCTGCTTCGGGACCAATCAGTGACAGCTTTCTGACGGAGGCGGACCCCTCCGGTCCTTTTTTAGGTATCTTGTTTCTTTCTTTGTGAAGTCTGTGGCTTAAATCACATGAAAAATATCAAGGAAACATAGATATCAAGTTATTATTATTTTAATACACACTAACATAATGCTTTAATGCTAAATGCTTTACTTTTTACATATATACATGGGACGATTTTGTCCTTTAAACAGCTTCTTTGAAAAGCTCCTCATGTTTCTGCGCTTGGCTGTTCGTCATGCCTTCATGTGCACATTCACAACGATTGAGTATCTCGAGTATCTAAACCTGGGTTAAAGGAACAGTTCTGTGAAAAATCAGTTGAACATGATTTGTCATTTACCCCAGATGCCGCTGATCAGCCATGTTTGATTTCTGACGTGTCCTTCTGTAATTTACAATGGGAGATGCTAGGCTAACACTGCTAACAAACGCTGGACTTAGACTGTCACCAAACTCAAATACATGCTAAAATCTTAATTTATTTGCCTAAAAAGTCTATCAAACGCTACGTGAACCAGTTAAAAAAAAGATTTAAAATGACATTTATCATCTGCATAACGTCGCGCATAACCTACTACTCTGCTTTCAAAGTCGCTGGACTGCTGTATTAAGGCAGGTATCACATTGGTTTGTTAGCATAGCAAAGGCCTCATAACTAAGACAGTTAGAGGTTGCGTCTCAAATAACAATAAAGCTACAAAAATGAGGTGCTGCGCTCCATTCGGTATAAACAGAACAGAGAAATCTAGGTGTAGTCCCACATATTATAAATATGGAAAAACTATAAACACAAGTTATGGGCTACATGAACTTACTCAAGCGATAACGTGTTGTTTGGTCCTACAGGGATCAGTTGGTTCTTCCAATTCATCTTAGTAATATCTAAAACTCCAGAAAAGCAGGATTTATAAGAGAAGAGAATTCATTTTTTTCATCTTTTTTGACCGTCTTCAATGCCACTTTGTTCACATGTTGGAATCAATAGCTCCCACTCCCCACAGCAGACTGACTCCACCTTGGTTGGCATCACCTGCCACCTGCCACAAGTACACCATTAAATTCCTGTCGTACGAGGAGTCACAGTTGGGTCCAGCATCTTTATGTGAAAACGTGGTCGTCACATATTTAGATTTAGAAGAGAACCAACAGGAGAGCCACACTTACAGTAAATCAATAGATGTCTACCCATTTAAGAAATCTACCCACAACATACAGCTCATCCCTAAAATACCACCAATATAGAGCGATGCATGCAAACCCCACTCTGTTAATCGATGTAGTCTTTTATATTAAGCGTGCAACAAGCAGAAGTGGCACACACAAAGTGTGGTTTCACTTTGATTGTTTTTTCCTGTCTGCTGCTGTGGAAGCATGTATTAAAAGTAGTGGGTTTGGTGGGCCATGATGATTGGTTAATGGGGCCTTGCCACAACAAATAGCCTCCTGACACCAGGCCACAGTCCTGCAGTAACCTCTTCCCTGTATGTTTTTTGCATTTTCTCTGCTCCAGCACACCCACTTCAGCTCAGGAAGGGCTTGTTCATTAGATTGTTGGCTGGATCAGAGCTGGAAACCACTGGCATAAAGAAACAGCAGTGTTATATTAATGCTTGCTTTGGAAACACATTATTGTATAGCTGTACTGTGTGTGTATGTGTGTGTGTGTGTGAGAGAGAGAGAGAGAGAGAGAGTGATAGAGAGAGCGAGAGAGAGAGTCTAAGTGTTTTTATGCAACACAAACATCTGTGGTCTAAGACTTCCAAGGCAACAGGCCAGTAAAATGTGATGGTTCTTCAGTTTTTATGTTTTTCTCCTTGGTTGCTTGTTGCTGAAAGGCTTGTCCTGTTCCATCATCTGCAGCCCCCCTCAGCTGAAGCTGATGAACAGCCAGTGTTGGCAGGACTCCAGGCTGGAGGAACTATCATGTGATGAATACTGAGTCAGCGTTTTCTCTCTGGCTAGTTTAATCTCTCTCTCTCTCTGTCTCTCTCTCTCTCTGATATCTGAAGTCATTTTGTGCACATCACCCCTCACCATGATTATTTAATTTGAAAGTAGCATTGTACTCCTTTCTTCAATATGGTTCCACAAAGATTATACAGTGGCCCTTAAAAGTATTGGACACCATTGGTAAATTTTCAGAAAGCTCTTTAGCTTACTTTATAAAATGTTTTATAAAATAATATTTGTTTCAGAGAAAAAAAAGTTACAGCACAGCATATATATATGGCCAGTTACTTCATTAGGTACACTTTTATCTACACTATTTGTCCATTTTATCAGTTACATTTACAATACAGGTGCACTTTGTAATTCTACAATTACAGACTGTAATCCATTTGTTTCCCTGCCCTTTGTTTGCCCCCTTTCCCCCTGCTTTTTAATGGTCAGCACCCCCACAGGACCCACACAGAGCAGGTACTATTTGGGTGGTGATCATTCTCAGCACTGCAGTGAAACCGACGTGGTGTTTTAGTATGTGTTGCCGTGAATGATCCTCTACCTAAGTAATACCTGCTCTGTGAGGGTCCTGTGGGGGTCCTGACCATTGAAAAGCAGGGTAAAAGCAGGCAAACAGATTATACAGAGAAACAGATGGACTACAGTCTGTAACTGTAGAACTACAAAGTGCACCTATATGGCAGGTGAAGCTGTTAAAATGGACACTAAGTGTAGAAAAATTAAGTGAACTTAATAAAGTGGCTGAATCGTGTATGTCCAAAAGTATATTGACACACATAGCTTGTATAACAAGCTCTGGACACTCTGGAGTTTAAGGTCATGTATAAAGCCAAGTGTCGGCTAGAGGGATGTAAAGCCCCCCCCCAACAGTGGTCTGTGGAGCAATGGTACTTCATTCTCTGGGGTGATGGAGCTCCATCCAGTATCTTTAGGATGAACTGGAGTCCTGTTTGTGATCCACAACTAATCATCCAAAATCAGTACCTGACCTCACTAATGCTCTTGTGGCTGAACGCAGTCGAATCCTCACAGCAATGTTCCAACATCTAGGTGTTACTGCAGCAAAGGGACAACAAAGTCCCTATTAATACCACTGATTTCAGAAGAAACGTTGGATGAGCAGGAGTCTACAAACATTTGGACTTAGCGTATCACAATGGCCAAAAGTATGTGGACGAACGTCACATCCACAGGAGCATCTTATTCCAAAACTATGAATATTAAAAGGGAGTTCGTCCCCCTTTGCTGCAGTAACTGCTGGTCAGGCACTTTTGTTTTGTGACAAGGCCTGACTCGCAGTCCGTGTTCCAGTTCATACCAAAGGTGTGAATGAATCTCTCTCTCTGTAGTTTAAAGCAGATAAAGAAGCAGGGGGTAGGCAGATCTATAACCTGCAGCATGCTGTGCTCATGTTTTTACCACTGTGTTACCATAGATTGGTATAGATTGCTATAGATTTACAAAGTAAATAGAATGAATTTATTCTGCTGTACAAACAGCCCACCAGACAGCAACAAACCGCCATTTGACTTCATCTTTTCCACAGAAACCCTGTCCCCCTTGCACACATACAGACTATTGATTTCATTTTTTGTGTTTTGAACCCACAAATCTGTTAATTCTATGAATGGGGTCAGTCAAAGCTTTGAGACTTTTAGTAGAGCACATTAAGCAGTATACAATTAATAAAAGCAGAGAAATAACTCAAGAGCCCTTTAAGCCTCTGAACATCCTCCATTTGGAGGGCCATGTAGCCCAAACACCCCTCTAACTCAACAAAAATCAGGTCACCCTATCCCTAGGCCTGAATGGGCAAAACGGGGGGGGGGTTAAGGGCTAAGTGGTAGGGACAAAAGGTGAAATGGGATTGGACCTTAACATGGAGAAAACTTTAATAAAGAAAAACGAGGCAAGATCTCTTTTGCTACTGTTGAAGTGTGTTTTCTTTCAAATGTACACGATAGACTGTCCAAAAGTGTGTGGACACCTGCTCCAATGTTCCTTCTGAAATCAAGGGTATTTGTCTTCCACTCTTGTGGGAAGGCTTTACACTAGGTGTTGAAGCATGGCTGTGAGGATTTGATTGCATTCAGTCACAACAGCATTAGTGAGGTCAAGTACAGATGTTGGATGACTAGCTTTGGATCACTCAAACTCATCCCAAAGGTATTGGATGGAGCTCCATCACTTCAGAGAATGCAGTTCCCCTTTAGGCGCTGCCTCGCACTGGGTATGGTGACCTTAGGTTCGTGTGTAGCTATTCCAGAGCGTCCCACTCTTTTGGTAATGCTTTTCTATGCAGATTATCGCTGTGTATACGCCTGTGCCAGCAAAGGGGGCACCTTAAAATAGCTGAATTCAATTATTTAACGGAGTGTCTGGATACATTTGGACATATAGTGTATGTTATTTGCTGATTTTGATTACGACATCCTCAAAAAAAAGCAAGAAACCATGAAACAAGTTGCTGTCAGTAGGACTGAAATGATCACACAGGGTTACATGGAGTATTTCTTATTTAATTAAAATTAATGAAGGGTGCAGCTACTGTACAGAGAGCTTGGTGAGAGTGAAATTTACAACACATGAACTACAATGACCATGATGCTGCATTGGAGAATGATGGCAGTGCTGGGTAATGAAATCCAGAGAAAAGATTTTACCAAGGCAGATAAACTACAGTAGAACATATTTAAATAAAAAAGACGACTAGTACAGGTATGTGATGAAAACAAAAAAAAGAACAAAAATTAATAAATGATTATACATATATTCAATCATCCAGAAAGCAAAATGGAAATCAGAGCTTAAAGGCAAGCTGAAACAATTTTGAAACATGGACAAAATGTAATACGAGTGAGAATTACTTCAACCCAGGCCTTCGTGACTCACCAGGGATGAAAAGTGCAAAATACAAAAAAACTCCATTACTGCAAACATCAAGGGGAGGAACATCTTTATGTGTGACCAAAGACTGGACACAAAGGTCAGCACGCTATCTTCAACGCTGGGACACTCATTCTATTCATCTTTTTATTCCTCTTTTTTTTCCCTCTTACATTCCTTCGGGTAACCTTTACTGCAGAATGGCTGCCGTGGCTGCTAAAGGCAGGCAGATAGACAGAGATGGACATGTAATTACCGCCGCCATTTCATCACATGAAAAGCAGCTGAGATTAATTTGTGAGAAATGACATTTAACAGTGGATGAAATCTAATAATTGAGTTTTTCCCCCTGCTAGGTCTTTCTGAGGCTCATGTTCTAGGCATGCTGGAAAAATACCTAAAATACCTAAAATACATGGAACAGTAAACTTTTTAAACTCATTTCCAATTATATTATGTAAGTCTCTATGACTGCTACACTGAATGTATGTGAATGCCCTGTGTATTTTTTAACACCTGATTAATCAGCAATACCCTGAGTTCAAGCTCTGATAGAAATGAATTTAAATCTCCATCTAAACCTAAACAGACATTATCAGTTCCATTTCTGCTGTTACCCAATATACACTCAGCACTACACTGATAAAGTAATGCGATGAATTTGAACTGATTCACATATGTGTATAAATTTCACACAAATAAAATATAAAATTTTGACTTGGCAATAATTGTTCTGATGTAATACAAACAAGTGGAAATGATGTCCACATGTGAATCAAGTACATTCAGCGCATTACATTTTCCAGTTTAGATCTGATCCCAGAGCTGCTTCTAGGACAAAGTCCATGGACATAAAACAACATAAGCCATATTTGTATAGAGTGAACAGACAGACAAAGACAAACAGAGAAGCAGACAAACGGATATAAAGCTAAAGAATATAATACAATAGCTCGAGTGGCATCATCTTTCCTCCCTTCTTATAACTTTTACACTCTTCTTATAACACGCACATAGCTAGCTTACACAGCAAATAAACCTATTTCACAAGGCCAACGTGGACTTACAACGTTTTAGTCTTTAAAAATAAACCATTATATTTCTCAACTTCCCCAAGACAACCACAAAGAAGAGTAAACTTAAAAAAAATGAAAAAAGCACATATTCCATTATTTTCTATATAGGTAGACTGCAAGATGCTAAAACAAGAAGTATTATGCATGTTTTAAAGGGCAAACAGACTTTACAACCTCAAATGTCTATGAAAATGTTCTTGATCAAAAAACAAAAACATAAAAACAAAACAACATTGCTCCTTTTAAAGGAACAGTTGACAACAAGATCAGACACTCACAGATGCTGCAACTTCAAAATCAATATTCTGTTTTCTTTAATGATGTCTGTGCAGATAGTGACCTAGCATCCTTCTGGAATTATTCATTTACTGAGAATCGCTTAGTTTAGCTTGCTATATCAGAAGAAATTCATATATGAGCAATGCAATTCAACTGAATAACTTTTAAAACTGTTAGCAAAAGTTCACTCTATCATCTTCACCATGAGTAATGACTACATCATCGGCTATGCAAAAGAATCAAGGTCATAATGACAGTAAAAGGAGGTGCACTTCTCTAAACACAGTATTACGTACATGAAAATGAATATGACTGCAAATAGCAGAAACATCTAGAAGTGAAAAGCTAAATCAGAGGGCTGGGCATATCTGTCTTTGCTGATCTCACATTGGTGAAGCCACGTCCGAGCTCAGTTCCATGTCCAGCGTGAGAGATTCTGGGAAAAATAATGGAAAAACAGCATCATAGTCAAGCACATATGATCATTTTCAGGCACACAGTATTTTTGTGTAAAAATGAATGTGAAGGTAATAATTCAACAACATCATTTACTGTTAGAATCAGTTATAATTAATTACAATAATATTCAATATAGTATGTGGTCATTTTTTTTTGGCCAAAATAAAATTCTCTAGCTATTTTCAAACATAACCTCCCCTCACAAAAAGAAACAATACTCAAATCAAATTTTGGTCAAATGTGAAACTGAATCATTTCCTGACGAACTGCAATGAAACTGACTTGTGAATTCTTGGATTAACCCTAGTATTGAGCTACAGCGCCACACAGTTCAATGGAAAATAGCAATACAGGTGTGTCTTACCTAGAGGTCCGGGGTTGGCCTCTGCCGCCTCGTTGTGCATCAGCGAGTCGAGAGTGCGAGGAGACATGGGGAACAGATCACTTGTGTTGCCCGAATTAGTCCTGCAACACAGACGCACAAACACAAGCACGTATGAGAAATGCAATACAAACTCTAATGAGAAAAGCCACAAACATTCAGTCCACAAATACGCATAGAGATGTCACAGTATGATTAGACTGATGAGTTCGTTTGAATACATGGTAAGTTAACTATCACAACAACACACACATGCGTCACAAAAAACTTTCTTTAATACACACACGCACATACTGTGTATCACGGTCATCTACTCCACATTTGAGTCAAACATGATAAAGTTGTCAAAGGAAATGAAAGTTAGTAAAAGGTCTGGGACAGGAGGCAAATCCAGTAAGATTAATCACATTCGTTTGTGTAGCTAATCATGATTCATAGCATTTGTCTTATTTGTTAAAGGTAGATTTTTCTATTTAAAAAGCAGTGTATGTTTTTACAGCTATATGAATGGACAAAGCTTAATTGGAAAGCATTTAAGGTTAATCAGAAAGTATTTACCACCTTGTAAATGGTTCACCTAATAATACAATAACATTATTTTCACTGTGTGAACGCAGCGTTCACATGAACTGACCATGAAAATCATGTGAATACAGGGTGGACATGAACTTGAACATGGAAATCATTGGCTTCACATTGTGTGAAAGCAGTTAACAATTTTCATTACTGACATCTCTGGCGACCAATGTCCAGCAAAGTTTTCTGAATTACTGATATTCTGTGTCTTGCTTGTTAAAGGGTTCTTCAGACTCTATGTACTTCAGTAATAAACAAATTTACTGTGCTGCAGTAGCTGAAATCTTTGGTTTTATCAAGAGTGCAATCTATAGAACTTGTCATGGAAACTATTTGAATCAGAGGGCCACCATCACGGAGTCATAGCAACACCACTATCCCATAGCAACAATCAACTGTGCCTTAAAAGTGCATTTTATCACATATTGCTTAACACATTATTCACATGTTAACTTTGACACCACTAGTTTTACTTATCATACATTATTTAACATAAAGCTACAAAATGTGTATAAACAGCTTGTGTCAAATGACATCTAATAAAAAGTGTCTCAGTGAGTTTAACAAGTCAAGAACATTACTGCTGTTGTGAGGGAGAAAAACACTTCTGCAATGCAGCTGTACTTGTGAATACAAGTAACAAAAAATTACAGAAGTCACGCTACTTTACTGAAAGAGCCTCCTTAACCTCAACATTCTCACAGATAGACAGATGAAATGTGCAGTGTCACAATGTCTTGGGTCAAACAGTGGAATGAAAAGAAGGAGCAGTGGTAACAATAAAGAGGTCAATTCAACAGAGAAAGCAAGAATCCTTTTTCCTGAAAGAGCAGTTTCATAACACTACTGATGGATGCTGGAGTTAGTGATACTGTTAATGAAGTAAGAATTAATATATCACCAAAATCAAACATATTGTTCCTCTCATATGAAAACCTAGTATTTATATTACTTCATTTGAAAATGCCAGGTAGCTTTTACAGTATGTGCACATTTCTTGATGAATGGACCAACTGAAAAGGTCCAAAATTACTTTGAAATAAACTCTCAGTACATTATTAAAATCTTTTTTAACATAATTTTTCCCTCTTCTGATTTCAGGTTATTGTTTTGGAGAAACGAAGGTTTTCGTACAACAGAAACAATATGAAAATGCGAAATGAATGAATGATACAATGTTTTCAACAAGGCATGAGAAGAATATTTTACAAAGGAGGAAATTAGGCAGTGCTCCAAATCACAAAGGCGTGCCCCTACAGAAAAAATGCCATCAACCGTAAGCATTTCAGAAGTACTGATACTGAATATATTTAAGGCAAGAGAGCAGTTTAAACATCTGGAGCACAGCCACAGAGAACCTACTACCAGGCCCTGTCCAAATCCAAAGATTGTTCACTACTCTTGATGACTCCATCTAGTGCTAAATGGAGCATCTTGGGCTAACAGAGCATCTTACGTAACAGTACAAAGCCAGATTTAGAGTAATGAGGGATGAAAGATAAAAGCTAATGCAATTTCAGTTAAGGATGTCCCAATCCACTTTTTAAAATATCAGATATATGGTGATTCATGTTTTGATGTGATACTTGTGTTTTTGTAGATAATACAGTCACACAGTGCAAACTTCATGTACATAAAACCAAATCCTGTCTAAGGTAACATATCATCACTGTCACATCAAAACCATCTATCTCCATAAAAAATAACTTGTTAGAATGGCAACAATATGCTTAGCTTTAAAACTAATGTAGTTATAACTGAATTTTGAGGGGACGGACATGCCTGAATCCCCTCCTCCTTCCAATACAACGCCCTATAAATTCACATCCTAACCAGGGTTCACAATTCCCACTGCCACCCCATCTCCTCCCTGTTCCTCAGTCCTACATCAGTCCTGCTACAGCTATGAGGGGGTCTGGCCTTTTAGCTACAGGTAGAAGCTGCTCAGAACTCCAGCCCAAGTTCTCAGAGTTCTCCCCCCCTCCATGAGTCTTCCCTCATACTACCACCACCATGTTGAAGGCATGATCTGAACTCACAAACATGTGTAACTCTTAAAATATGAACCTAAAGTGGCCACAATCATTAACTGATTAGCCATCTTGTTTCCCAGTTACGGTTCTCGAACAAATGTCTACACTTATACACAATTATGTGTAAAGTCAAGCAAAGCTACATTTGTTCTTGTGAGTGAAAATGTAAACATAAAAAGATGTATTCCACTAGCATACATGCTAAAAACGTTAGAATGAGCTACATAACTAACAAATAAACATGAATTATTGGAATGGACAGGGCCGTCTGTCAAACTCAGATAAGCAAGGAGGAATACAACCCAATGCAGCTTCTAAGGTGTGTTAAACAGACCCATTCCGTTGTTATTAGAGGGCTGCTGATGAAGTGTTTGATTACAAATGTTAATACTGTACAAAATATGCTGGCTTAAACACTCGCTCTCTCTCTCGTGTCCTCACACCACACACACACATGCATTTACACACTCCCACACACCAGCTCCCTATTGCCTACCCAGGGAAGCCGTTCCCAAGCAGTTCACTGTCCGGGAAGTCCATGAAGACGGAAGGACACCTATGGAAAGAGGTCAGTTTACAGCCTGACACACGCACACGCATGCATGTGTGGGCACACAGACGTAAGCATACACACCCCTGCATACCATCATGGCCTGTCTGTACCGCAACCAAAATCTCCAGTATTTGTTTGGGCCATGTAAGCTTTGGTTAGTCTCAAATCCCTACACTTGTAAAGGTCAAAGTGTGTGGCCTGTATGCATGAATGTGTGAGTTTAAGTTCTGGATTTGAGCCTTTACCACAGACCACTTTTCTTTTATTTATTTATTATTATTTCCAGTCAAATCTGGCACTATGTACAAGTTTTTCCAAGTGGTGTTTTTGAGATCAGATATAAGATAGTGTACCTGCATGAGGAAAAGGAAAGTCAAAGGAAAATAAGTGGGGAAAAAAGCTACCAAAAACTGGAGCTCAAAAAATTACAACAAACATGTAAGACTTGGTAGATCACCAAAACTGTCACCATCAAATAAACAGTACTTAGAAATAGGAGAAATTCAAGCTTGATGCTTTCAAGAAGCTCCATTCTTTCTGTCCATCCTTCCACGTTAAGAAAACAACTCAACACCTCGGATCTGAAGGAATGTGTAGCTGCCAAGAAGCTGATGAAAGAAGAAGAAAATTTGCACTAGAACACAAAAACTAGTCAACTGAGATGCTGAGTGAGGTTTTGTGGACTGATGGAATTGGACTGAATTTGTAATTGGGATTCCTTGAATCATGACTTCTAAAACTGAACTTTGGAGGAGTGAAAAATGATCTTTTTCTCTGAAATCAAGTCTCCCAAAATGAACAGAAGCTGTAATAAAGGCAAAGGATGGACATAATGAAAAATACTGGAAAGGTGATCTTGATATATATATAGTGTGACTGGAAATTAAATAAATGAAGAGTGGTTTCTGCAGAAGAGGAGATGTGTTAAATTTATGAATAATGACTGTGCATATAGTCTTGTTTTACATTATTTTTTGGCTTTAAAAGTAAAGACTCAAACCTGCAGATACAGAATGTACCTCTGAACTCCTGGGGGTTAAAAGAAAGTAGCCACATGCAGTCAAAGATTTGATTAGTCACTGTAGCCAGTCAGGATGAAACTATCAAAACGTGTCTGTTGTAACTCCCTTTTTTCTTTGTATTCTTTGTTTTTACTTCAGCTTGTGAATAAAATGGTTCAAAATGTAGTGCATTTCCCTATTCTGTCAACAGTTCCCTGTAATACTATCAATTCAACATCTGACATTATTTGGCGTCTCTATCAGCAGTTCCTTCTGCTATTTTTTACAGCTAACGGCCCGAGAGGAGAAAAATGTCAGCTGACCTTACTGGATATGGTGTAGAAACATTCTGGTAAATGGAAGCAAGAGGGAAGACTAGAGAGGCTTCTTGCTTCATTGTGGTAAAGCCATAGTGAAGCTGTTCTGCTTACTATGGGAAAAGTCACAAAGTGAATCTGCTCAGCTCTGTCACACAGAAAACCTGCTCTTTCTGTTTTTTTTATTCAAGCACCACAACCTTTGATCCTTCCTTGTAAAAAGACAGAGAAAAAAGGAAATGCGAGACTCCAGCCATTCAAAGTTCACAGAGGCCACATATACACCAACATATAGGACTGCATGCATGCACAAGGATACACATGCACCCACGTGTCATGAAAATATCTACATAACTATCCTTCCCATCCACACAAACACAGTGAATAGTAAGAACTACTTACGGGGTGACGCAGATAAACTTGGTCTTCAGGTACGGCTGAATGGCTGCAGAAAACAACAAACATAAAAACCATGTAAGTACTCTGTTAGTGAGGCAGCACACGTTTACACACTATCCCACTGTCGCACTACCTCACATTTCCTAGTGCAACACCTGCATTCTTTCTGAGAAAGGGTTTTATAGATATGGTGGACCCTGGTGCAGCCTGATATTCACAGAACACATGATGTCATGTAAACACCTTATCCCAGTTAAGCTGTTTCAAATACAGCTATAGCCAGAAAAAGCACTTTTCCAAGTAGAACTGGTGGAATTTTCCATTATTTTGACACATTTTTGGAAAACGATGACATGAAAATATTTCTGAGTAAACCCTCAGTAAGGATAACCTTTATTGTTATTTTAAGTGCATCAAAGCTTTTAACAACTTGAAAGGAAGGTCCACCGATTTTTCCAAACTTCTCAGTGCTTCAGTTCATTAAGATGTCATTCAGAGTGGTTTGATTTTGAAATGCACTGTCCTAGAGAAATTTACAGTCAGAATTGTTTACAGTGATGGGGACAGGAACCAGACACCCTAAGCTCTGAATGCCTCTGAAAGCTAAATAAGTTACCTGAAACAGTTAACAGTATGCTGGCCTATGCCTGAGACATTGTTTTAATGGTTTTGGTTTAAAATATATTTTTTAAAATCCATTCATGGCAGAGCGGTACATGCAGGGTGTTATGTGAGCATATCGTGGATATCATCTAAGCTTAAAGAATACTGAACTACTACATGCTTCATCACAAAGAGAGCACAGTTAGTCCTGTTTAAATGGATTTAGTGCAGCACAGTATGTGAAACACTGATGATTATACCCAAAGATTTTCAACGGTTGTTTCTGAATAAGGCACTACTAGTGTGTAGTGTCTGTGTATCCATATATTGTGAAGTGTATAATGTATCTTAAATTTTCACCATATTGCCCAATGTGTGGGTTCACTGGCCATTTTGGATAGCAAATAAAATGCTTATATTTGTGTTGTAGACAATCCCTGGTTTCTATCACCGCCACTGCAAAGAAAGGAGGAAAAAAGGTTGCTGCATATGGCCTTTGCAGCCAAGGCACAAAAACTTGTGGGAATATGTTTTTTATTTAGAGCTCTGGCTGGAATATCGCATGCATGTAAACAGAGTCACTCACTTCTCTCACTCTTCGCATTGTTTTTCTGGAAAGAGTGAGAGAGTTTGTTCTCCTGTAATCCCCACTTCTTCTCATTCTGTCTCCTATGTTTTTTTCCCTGTTCCGCTACAGCTAAGCCTCCCCAGCATAACATTCCTTGCTCATTTGCATCTACAGGCTTTGTACATGTTTTTTAAGACACAGAAATTTGAAATTTTTGAACTGAAATTTTATGGCAGCATATTCCAGATGATTATTGAGATTGTTGATTGTTGAAATTCGAAAAAAGTCAGAAATATCCTGCCATAGAAATTTCTTGTTTTTCTCTATTTCTAATCGATTTATGATTTAACTGTTAAAGTGATGCACAATTAGGTACATGATCTCTGGTGGAGATTTTTAATGTTTGCTTTTCTCAGCTGATGCTACAAGGCTGCAGTGTAGGCTTGGTGAGTGGAGAAAAAGCTGCCAAGTAGGAGAAAGCTATTACCACATCCAGGCTCTTGGAAGTCAGCGTCGGGCTGGGCCTCGGGCCGGCAGTACTTGCCAAAGGCCTCCTCTTTAGGGATCTCGGGGAAAAGGTAGACCAGTGGTGAGACCAGGATGTTGGTGGCATCCATGATCTTATAGCCCATGATTATCTCGGCAAACGACATGCTGTTCAGCTGCTGCTTAGTGTATGGCTCCACTGACTGGATCTGTGTCTTACCTATAACACACACCCCAAAAACAGATACACAATTAAATTCACAAAACATACTAGCAAAAATGCACAATACTGAATATATATACTGAGTTGCCACTTTATTGGGAGGTACACCTACCTTGTACCTACACTAGGGCTGTCAAACAACTAAAGCAATTAATCATGTTATTTTTTATCATTAATTGCATTTTATTTGCTCAAATTTGACCCTAAGAATTCTTTTTTTTATTTCCATTTAAAAAGCAGTGCATTTTGTTTTACCTATATGAGTGGACAAAATAAGCTTCATTAGAATGTATTTATTACTTTAATAATTAAATAACATTATTTTTCATCATGTGAATGAAGAGTTTACATAAAGCTGAAAGTGAAAATTACATGATTTCCACAGAGCGAGCGCAGTTTCCCATTTTATGCACTGACGTCCATCGAGAGCAACACTAGCTGCATGTTTCCTCTGTGATAGTAGCTCTTAGTCTCATACTGCTGTTACGTCTTGTTTCAGGAGGAACTGGAGTTTTCCACTTGGCTGATGCTTTTGTTAGTTTCCTGTATTTATCCCTAGTTCTCTCATTAACACTGTCCAGCGCAGTCTGCTGTGTTACTCATATTGCTTTGATCAGCACTTTCTTTTGCTTGTAAATGATCCTCAAGTCTCAGTGTACTTTGTTCACAAACAGATTTACCATGGAAATGACTTAAAAAATAACTTTTTGAGCCATCAATGGAAGTTGCCATTTAAAGGCTGTATTTGAGCGAGACAGCTACAGTAGAAATCATAGCAGTGTGTGTGCAGCTGGGCTTCAGGGTGAAACTACAGATGGTTTATAGAGTCAAACTAAGAAAATGCATTCACATTAAAAAGCACCTAAATAAGTAACGTTCTTCATTTATGTTATTAATGCACTATTAACATGTTAACTTTGACATCACTAACTTATACTCTTTGGCCATTTTATCAGAAACATCTGCTATATAGATGCATTTTGTCTCAGTGACACTGACTGTAGCCTACCTGATAATGTACAATTTATCAGGCCCCTCTATCTATCTATCTATGGAAAGGAACCACCATAGGACTACCACTGACATCAGTGATACCCATATGTACTGTATATATAGTCATGTGCAAAGTTTGGGCGCCCCTGGTCAATTTACGTGTTTTGTTGATTTTGTAAGTGAAAATGAGTCAACAGATTCTCTACAGGGAACACAAGTCTGCACATTTTAATGCACAATTACTGTTTATTTGCTGAATTTAACATACTGAAAAAAAGAAATTACTTTTTCCAATATGTTTTGAAACAAATAAAAAGAAAACGAGCACTAAATTTTGCAGAAAAATGCCATATGCCATTTGAAATGCCTTTTCACTGTGTTCTCTGTACAGGATAAAATCAACAAATCATGTTATTTGACTGGGGACCGTCAAAGTTTTGCACAGAACTGTCCATCATAAAATGTACATCTGTAAAACTGTATATCATACAATGTCACAAAACTGTGTATCACCAAATATCTCTTTTCCTCTCTCTATCTATTTCTCTCACATACAAACACACTCACCACTGATGTCTTTCTCCACCCAGGTAAATGTGATGCCTCCCTCCTTACTGCTCTCACTGAAGCGTAGCAGAAAAGTCCCAGGAGGTTTTGGGCTTAGGATAGCCCTCTCTCTCTCCTTACTGATGAAGCCCATGATATACCTGCAAAATACATGCAGAAAAAGCTTCTTAAGACTGACATAAGGTAATGTGATTAAACTGTTTGATTCAAATATGCACTTTCTTTCCCCATAAATAAAACGTATAACCTTAACACCATGATCGTTCATAATGGTGTCCATGTAATTTAGTCAGTGTGTACTGATATTTCAGGCATTTCTATAATTGATTATGCTCACCCCTCGTTCCACAGAGCCAGAATATACTTCTTCACCAGGTCAATGATGTTGTCCAGCCATACCCAGAACGAAAAACCTTTTCCAGCCATGTTTTCCTACAGAACACGCATATACACATACAATACAAGGTTAAAGTATGCTTGGGCGATTTGCATGTTCTTTGAATTTGAATGTTCTTATTAGAATTGTTACAATGTAGCAGAACATACTTTGCAAAACTTGGCCCAGGTGATCTGGCAACCAGAGTAGTTGACACAAGGACCTAAATATATGAAAAGAAGGAATGAGACACATTATTAAAATCGGTGACAGAACACACACTCATTCTCACATACACAGTACTGCGAAAAAGTCAGAGACCACACTTCGTTTGTGTGATTTTCAGCCAAAACAGCAATTAAGAGTAAGTTATTAATTTTTTTCAGAAGATATTTCTAAGAAGATTAGATATAATAGATTTGTTGAAACACGAAGGTGAAGACAAAGGACAACAGGAGCTTCCAAAACTGGAGTTTAAAAAATAATTAAAAGATACAGAGAAAATGAGACGACTGTGCAAGACAACATCACTGAATGTGTCTGAAATGAACTGGATCATGAGAAGCAGAAAATGCAACCTACTTCTAAGACTGAACTTTGGAGATGTAGAAAAACATCCCTGTAAATTTCTTACAAAGCTGAAAGCAAATCTCCCTAAAAGAATGGAAGCTGTAATAAAGACAAACTGCTCACACACTAAACAATGAAACATGCTTTTATTTTTAGTTGTTGAGGGTTCTGTTTTCTTACTTTGCGGCTAAATATATGTTTTCTGCATTTTTATCCTGGGGTTGAAAATGCATGACTTGTCATTTTGACTGGAAATAAACTAAAAGAAGGGGGTTTGTACAGTACTGTATACACACACAAATCCAAAGCTAAGCGTACCAAGCAGTTTCTCAGCGAGTGTGTTAAGTTGCTCAATAGTCAGGCCCCTCTTGGTTGTGGAAGAAAACTGCCAACTCAGCACCTCAGCCACTTGATCCCATGTGGCCACAGGAGGCTTTGTGAAAAAATTTACATTCTGAAAGTAGGAAAGAGAGAGAGAAAATCAATTAGACACAAAGCACAGTTCAAGCTAACAGTAGGGGGCGATATTGCAATATTGTTGTTTTACTCACCTTGGGATGGTTGGTCAGCATGTTGTACCACAAAATGGACGCCCATGCATTTGGCATCTGACAGATATTAGAAATGACTACAACAGGGAGAGAGTGTGTCTGTAAGGAATGGAAAACGAGAATGAGATCAGATAAAATTCTTGATTTTGCATATACACTGCATATAACTTACATCTTACTGCACTTGTATGACGTCACATTGATCAACAACTGTATATAAGCAAACACAAACATCAAGGAAACATAGTCAGCTTTGCACTGATGACTTATTTAACTAATTATCCTGCTGTGTGTGTTTTAGTGGTGCAACTAGAAACCTTTTTTGATGAACTGCTGTTATTTGCAGCAATTACAATCTACCAAAATGTTATCAATATACAATGCAATTGACCATGATAACTATATTTGTAGACATGAAACAGGGCTCCTAATTCATCTGAACTTAGTTCCATACACATAAATACAAAAAATACCCCAGTGCTGCAGGAGATTTCTTGTTTTTGTCCACTCTGTGGTTGTTTTATGGTTAGAATAATCATAAATTATTGACATGGATATAATAATGACTGTTACAGTTAATTCTGCTTTATCCACATTATTGGGTGCATAAGCCCTTTCTAAGAACCAATCTATGACATGTTATTTCTGAGCATTGCTTTGCTTTTGCTGCTGGCATGCGGACTAAAATGGAATCTGGTTGAAAATCTTGCTGAGAGCGATAAGGAGGCCCAGGCCATGAGGTGCTTTAGCAGGTCTAACAAACCACATGGAGGTTCAGTGCCTCCTGAGGGGAGTTTACATAATTATGAAGATGAAAAACAGACGTGAAAGAGTTTAGTGGACTTTTGTCTGGTCAAAAAAAAGGAAACGGCATGTTTGCAGACATGGTCGTCTGCATGTTGCAGTTCACTTGGGTTCATTAAGCTAAACTGAACCGAAATTAAAATAAAGGTTTGGAGCCAAATTAAGGTCTTAAAGTGCTTCATTTTTCCTTAAAAATTTGTGTGTTTTCACCATCAACCACCATTTTCAGCAATTAAACAAATGCACAGAAAAATCAGTCATCTCTTTGTTACTCCTGCTGAACAAATGCTTCCAAAATTTAAAAATAAGCTAGGATTAAAATTAGCATGCTTATTGCTTGATCAAAATCTGCCACACTGTATCTAACAACAATAGCATGGCAGAGATTGTCGATCTTCAACTCTGGTAGGATTATGGCTGCTTCCTTTTGATACATTTGCTGTGATCCTTTAACCAATGTAAAGCCATGTGAAAAACTGCTATAGTGTGTGATTTTATATGTTAAAGGAATGATCTGGCAAAAAATTTAAATCAAATGTACACAACTTTCCACTTACCCTGATATTAATGATCACAACAGTTTGAACTGCAAATTTAGCTTTTTTTTATTAGTGACTGAGGCTAACACGGCTAAAAATAAGCAAGTTAATAGACATCTGTCACACATCCTCCGAACCCCCTTGTAGATTCAGACTCGATCTCCCAGAATCCTCTGGGAGATCACATGACGTCCAAGCTTCCCGTAGGCAACAAAACTGAGACGAACTCAACATCCTAGGATCCTCTGGGAAGTCACATGACATCTCACGTGACTCCGCGCTCCTATCAGCACTCTAGGTCTCCGGAGTTTTGATGTGAATCACCTGTGTTATGTGTCATATGATACACTTAGTTTAGTATATAAGCCCAGGCTTTAGCTTAGTAAAGCTGCGAGGTACTGTATCCATTTTTGAGATCTGCTGAGCGTTCATCCATTATTGTGTATTTCGTGTATGATCTTTGCCTTTCGTTTTCTCCACTCTGCCCTTCTTGCTCTGCCCTTTGGATTTGGTTGCATTGTTTCTGATTTTGGATTATGCCCATTTGCCTGCACTTTTGACCATGCTTCTGCCTTTCCCTTTTTGGATTGATGCATTGTCTGATCTTTGTCTGTGTGTATTTCTTGTGCCTTCTGGATCTGAACACTGCCTGGTTATCGACTACGACTTTGGACTCTGTTTCTATCAGTAAAGCTTCTCTTTAAGTTACATCTGCGAGCGTCTGACTTGGCTTGAAACCTTACAACATCCCAATCTATTCTGCAAATACATCCCCAAAACTTCTTTCAACCCACTCAAACTACATCCACCTCTTCATAGTACGACTTATTGTGATCCATGAAAATGAACAAAACTTCACGGTGCAGCTGAACACTCAGGCAGCCGTTTTCCACAACAGGTGTTGTGCCAAATTCTGATCTCCCCTGCAAAATCCGACTTTCTTTGGTTTCTGTTTATAAACAAATCTTTTGTTTAAAAATTCAAGATCAACAGTTATAAACAGAATTCACAAACATAATCTGTAGTATCCATATGCCTGCAAGATGTGTGCAGACGCAAAGGGAAGTCAAAATTTGGCAGAACACTTTTTTTTTTAAATGTGGCTGCCTGCAGTGTTCAGCTACACAGTGAGGTTTGATCGTTTTTACAGTTTACAGTCAGTCATATTGTGCTCTAAATCACACTGTCAAGTCCACGCAACCTTAATAAGGACACGAAGTACTGAAGAGTGAAATTTTGGAAAGCTAAACTGAACAAAAGAAGACAAATTCGGACACCAAACCTGTCTTGTCTGACTGAGTATATGTGAGGTGAGGGTTGTGTGTAAAAACTGTGTACAACTGATTTTTCGCCAAACCGTTCTTCTTAAAGACTTTCTATAAAGTGTAAATGCAGACATCGGCACAACTAGGAGGCCTGAGTGAAGAGAGTGATTTAGTCAAGGTATGACGAATCAAAAATCTTGTCCAAAATTTGCTTAGTCACCATTATGTGACGTCTGGCTATGGACTGGTGTACTGCAGTGTTCTCACTTCCAACTACAGGGAAGATTCATGTGTATGTAAAAATGTGTGTGTGAAGGTCGTATGTGCAGGTGTAGTGGTGTGTCGTATAGCGTTTTGGTAAAAGCACTGCTTAGTTAGACTGACATCAGCTCACAGTGGGCGCCATGGCGACAGCCATTAGCATGACCTCATTAGCATGCTGCAGAGTGCACCAACCCCCTGGCGTCGTGTACTGGACTTAATCACTAATCATTTCAATATCATCTTTAAGATAATAACATGATTCAACCTAATTGCCGTCCACTGTGTGCCCAGCTGGACTTTCCTGCCAATTCATGACAAGGGATACGATTAAATGATCTACTCTATTAATCAGGCAGAGGGGTAATTACCATGTTAAACATACCAGTGTCAAACAGTTAAATCTGCATTTTTCATTTTAATGGAAAACCAGAGACTGCAATTATGCTCACAATGTCCCTGCACAGTGTGTGTGTGTGTGTGTGTGTGTGCTCTCTCACCTCAAGGTCGATCTTGAGACCCTGGTGGTAAACCTCTGTCTCAAAGGTGATGAGGTGAAGCTCTTCAGTCACAATCAGAGAAGCCTTCAGGTCAGAGGACAAAATCATTAGCACTTACATTACTTAATATGGACCTCTTCATGCACTAATGAACATTTTTTATTAATTGATATCACTGAGCAGCCACTTACATCGCTGTTGGTTCGGCCACCATTGCCACACCTCTGTTCTCGTAGAGTCTAAGACAGAGAGAAATTCAGGTCAACTCAACGACTCCATAATCGAATTAAATTGATATTATTATATGGGAGGTCAAGTGAAGGGTCAGTTATAAATAACAGGTCCAAACTAAAGATTTACACTATAAAGAACTGATGTAATTTTACAGCAGAAGAAACAATGCAGTAATTTACTGCATTCCTTAAATACAGCAGATTACTGCCAAAAATGCTGCATTCTCTCAGAGCTTCTTGTCAAAAATGTAAGAATTTACAGTAGTTAGTTGTTATTTGCAAAGTATACTGGGAAAGCCTTGAGCTGCATGTCTTTGAATTAAGTAATTTTACATTAAACTGTGAAATACTCCTTATAACTTCAGTGTGAGTGGGCGGGGCTAAATCGCTGCAGGCTGAACAGCCAGATTTACATAAATGTGTTACTGATTTTGTGACATCACAAAATATAATGTATTCAAAATGCTGTTTTGGCAGCTTAGCTCCTATTTTAGGACTATATGGGCTGGAGAGTGAATGGTATGTCTTAGTTCTTTTACAATATTTACATAACACACCAAACACTTTTATTTAAAAAAAAAAACTGAGGATAATTTAGTTTTCCGTGATTTGGACCCTTTAACAACTGGTTTAAGTGAACGTAACTGCTGTAAAGAAATGTTCGGTTAACAATGAGTGATAAACATTACTACAAAAACACTACTAAACTGAGGACCCTCAGACAGCTCTGGGCGCATATTAGACCACACAAGCTGTATATTACAAATACTGGGTTGAAGAATAACTGTACAAATTCTGCTGTATTGAGAAATACAGTATTGTGATTTATATTACAGTGGAAGTACTGAAAATAACAGTAAACCATCAATTTCCATTATTTTTTTATAGTGTGCGCTCAATAAACCAAACAACTCCATCAATTTCACAAACTGTGTATAAACAGCTAATTTGCACCCGATAGAAAACTAGCCATGAAATGTCCAACAGTGTATAGGATGTGCTCACCAGGTGTTTGAACTCGGCAGAAAGGCTGCCATTATTGGACTCCTCCATGTTCATCACCTTAGTGTTAGTGCCCAGGATGTTGAACTTACGGGACCTGGAAGAGGACGAAACAGAAAAATGTCACACGCTAGACAACATCAGCAGGCTTTTTGTTTTGGTAAATGAACAGAAATTATTCTGTTCATTATTCTGAGTCACTATGAGCAAAACACTCTGATGGATGTGGACTTTCCCTTATTTAAACATTGCATTAAAGTCAAATGTAAATGGCAATATTTTAATGTATTGATATTGTGTGGTGTTCTTGTTTCTTCCTTTACACATTATAATAGTTAACTGACATTTCTCTTTTCTACGTCTCATTTCAAGTTGAAATATCATCAATAAGTAAAACACTGACAATCAGATAAGAACAAGTTGAAACTCACCCTCGAATGGCTGCCACATCACCAGACTCCCTGGAGAGAAAGACATTCAAAACAGTCAGTGCTCCGTCAGGCTGTATGTGTCTGATGATACTTACCAACTTTGACTGAAAGAATGTAAAACTCACTTGTCAATGCAAACTTTGATTTTCAGCTGGTAGTTCAGTTCTGGGAATTTCACCAGTAGCCTAAAACAGAGTTGCAAAAATAACATTTGATGGCTTTGTCATTGTGCCTGTCAATCACTTTCGGTGAGTTTGTAAAGGAATCTTACCGAACTTTGTTGGTGAACTGAACTCCTGTCTTGATGACTAGAGGTCTGTCTGGATGCATAGGCATGCACGGCTGTCTCTCAACCACAAACGCACTGCAACGACACAAACGCGCCACAAGAGGGCTCTTTATAGAAAAATGTTTATGGCAATAACATCATATCTCATAATGATGTAACATATTGTTCTGAGTTTGCTCTTTGCTTCTGTGCGTGTCTTACCTCTTCATGAGGTTGCGGAACAGGTCTACGATTTTTTCCTCCAGGGCAGGGCGGTGCTGAACAATGGGGTCCCCTTTATATGACACCTTCTGCTGAAGCTCCTCCAGCTTCTTTATTTGCTGCCTGATCTGCAGTTGAGACTCAGCCAACGAAGTGATCCTAAAAATAGAGAAAGGGAGTGAGAAAAGGGGAGAGAAGGAAATAGCAGAAGAATGTATATTTTGAGATCTTTATCAAAGTGTTCTTTTATTTGTTGTTTCCTTTTTGTTATTAGAGGGGCACTTTGACATAAATATGAAATATAACTATTGTGCACTGTTGCAAACTCGCGTACAGACTTCCTACACTGGTGCCATAGTAATCCATAAGGTGATTTTTGCCAGTTTAAAGACTAAAGCTGGGGTTACAATACACAACTTTTACCCCAATTTTAGCCCCAATTCTCAGTCTGGCTGAATCTGTGCTAGTTGGCTCCAGTCTGCAGATTTTTGGGTCAGTTGGAGTCAACAACTGGAGAAAGAGAACTGAGTAGTGTGCGAGGGGCTCCCAATTGCGTTTCAGACCACTCGGAGCGTATCAAATATGTTTGATTTTTTTCGACCCGACCTAACTTAATCTAGTAAACTGGTCAACGACTCAATCTGAACAGACTCCTCCAACAGCCAATGGAAACTGAGAGCGCGAAAGAACAAAATACAGTAAGTAAACAAAGAAAAATGGTGAAAAGTCTTATTAAAAAGAAGCTTTTTAATGAGCTGAGTTTATGGCACGAGCACAATCGAGTTTCTGTAGATTTAAAACTCTACTAAAAATACCAGACTGATCACATTTTTGAAGCCATGAGCCTCACTTAAACATGTTCACCTGCTGCTTCTTTACTGCGTCAGCGCGAACAGCAAAGAAAACAGCAGCAGCGAGCGGTGCCACCTTTGTTTATTTGGGTCTCCTAGTAACGGGACAACACGAGAGTTCGCATGAGTGAGTTCCGTTCAGTTCAGCAGTAGCTTAAAAGTTGAATGGTGTGTAATTCTTTATCGTTTACTGTGTGATCCCCAATATTTCTGTTGCCCAAGAAATCTTAAGAAAACCTCTTTCAGATGATGTATTTTGAAGGTAGAAGATGCCCCAATGGTTGCATGACATATTTTGCATAATACATGCTGGATAATGTAGTTAAAGAACAATTATGTATTTTATGAATATTTATTCATATATTGTTATACAGATCACGTCTCTTGTGTTAATTCTTTTATTTAGTTAGTTAGCATTTAGTTAATGTGTTATTGAAAAGCACTTCAGACAACATACAGCTTTGGCAACATAAGTTCTCCAGTCATTTCCATAAAGCATATTTGATTTGATTTAATTTGACTGATTTGAAAGAATAAGCATTTAACATTATGAGGAAGAACACAGAGGTAAACAGCTGTGCAATAGTGCTCTCTAAACAGTACAATGAGACATTGCATTGTGTAGGTACCATGTCTCTAGCCGGTCCAGACAGATGTTTGGGGGTCCTCCAATGCAAGCTATCTGCTGTCGCCTCTTCCAGTCAGCCAGCTCCTCATCAGTCAGATTCTTCTGGACAAAGTCCATGGCCTGCAGCAGCCCTGCCATCTCAGTCACGATTTGCTGTAAGAAGAACAAAGACAGGCCGCTTTGTGTACATCATGTCTCTGCTGATCCTTCATTGCACATGGACATGGCTAAGCAGCCCAGACTGTGCATGGAGTTGTTGAATGTATTAAAGTGTAACTCTTACCCTCCTGAGCTGATCGAGGGCACACAGCATCTGCTCCAGCTGAGCCATTTTCTGTCTGGTGGCTGCAGCCTGGCTGTTTCCATTCAGGTCCTGGGACAGCTCTGAAAGACACCATTCAGAATTAGGATAAGAGAGAAACAGCTCCTACAAAACTCTGAACACAGGCCCTTATCTTGGAAAACCATATTTTTCTTGCTTTTTTTTAAAAAATAGAATAGTTTGATGTAGTATGTAAACACCCGAAGTTTCAAAACGTACCGTTCACTCCCCAGTAAACAGAAATTATAAAAACAGCCCGTTTAAAAAGCATCATAAGTGGACCTCAAACTTAAATATAAAATGCAAGAAACTTCAGATATGGGCCCTTCAAATAAGGGTTTAAAGCTCTGACCTCACAATAATTCGATTTCAACTATGATTCTTTTGGAAACTATTTAATACATTACAACTAAATGTTGAGGAAAAAAACCTGAGAATGAACAGTTATGTCTTATTGTTCTTATTGTTCTGCTTTAGAGAAGCCAGTTTGTATGTCCTAAAGCAACATATATTTCTTACCTCCAGCACTCTTCAGAGTCTTATAGTTGAAGTCAAAGTCATCCTGTAAGTTCTCTAACATCTTCATCTTTTGCTCCATATCCTGAAAAAACATCCAAGAAGAATGGAGTGAGAAACTAAGAAACCTTATGAAGAAATCCACTGATTGTGGACACCAGGTAAGTCTAGGATAAGCCCGGCATTATAGTTCATTGTTATTCTCCTCTAACACGCGTGGCTCAATACATGAGCTAATCGTAAACTCTTCTCAAGCTGTAGTGCACAGCTTTTTTAGTACCACACAATCATGCTCTTTTTACAATTTTATGTTTAACTAAAAGACAGAACAGGTGGTCCTATTATTATCTGTAGCATTTATTATTGAAATCCCTCTCAAGAAAACACTTGGCTAATGAGCACCACTCCAGTTAAGTGTCAGCTACACCAACAAACCTGCACTCTCTTCCTAATGTCCTGCAGGTTGTGCTCCAGGATCTGCTGTTTCTCCGTCACCACTGTACCAGTTGGGTGGGCGGCCTGGCCATCCTACAGAGACGAGACAGCAAAACTCTGCTTGAAAGGGTCAACAAAAGCCAATGATTTAAAACATTCAATCCAGGGCAGATCACGGTGGTGTAGGCATGAAAAATGGAAAAAATACGCACTGTGATGATACTACACCAGTAGTTGCTAGTCCTTTTCTAACAAAGCTAACAATCTTTTGTCATAAGATACTATTTTGGACAAGCAAATGAAGGCATGGAATATTTTAGATTTCAGTCACAAGCTGTAAAAAGAAGCTGTTGCATCTAACAGCAGTAGAAGCTGAGGCAGCACTGTGGATTAGCAGCTCTGGCAGTATTATCGCTGCTCCCTTTTGAGGCCCTTTGCATCACAACTGCTGAAGCATACAGTTTGACGAACGATGAATAACGTTTTTCTTAAAGGGCCCATACCCATGGAAAATCAAATTTTCTTTACTTTTTGTGATGTAGTATTTAAGCACACTTAAAGTTTCAAAACATACCGTTCACTCCCCAACCCAGTTCATGTATGGAAACTAAGCTGCAAAAACAGCCTGTTTTGGATTCACTGTTTCCCAGCCCATAGCAGTTTAGCTCTGCTCATTCACGCTGAAGTTACAATGAGTGTTTTAGTCTATACCACTTTTTAAATGAGGCACAGGGCATATAGGGCAGCCAATGAGAACGGAGATAATTTACATATATCAGTCTTACTGGAACAGTAAATTGGAAAATGAAAGACTTGTTCACGGTAGTGGTGATAGGAACCAGACGTCTGAGTTTAATGCCTCTAAAAATGTGACAGGAAATGGTTGAAATATGCTGTCTGATGCCTGATATATTGTTTCTGAGATACACAGTTTTGAGAAAGTGTTAGACTGAATTTTTTTAAACCATTTGTAGCACAGAGGTGCTGGCAGGGGGTTGCAGGGCAAAATAGTCCCCAAAGAAACCTTATTTTTTCAGATTTAGTACTATTTTATCATCATCAACACTGCATAAAATGACTCAGAAGACACGTGTATGTTCACAGACTATTTTGGATATATTTACATTTTACACATTGCAATTCCTGGTTCCTATCACCCCTACTGTATCTGAGTTGGTAGATTTCTCTACAATAAACCTTTTCACAAAAAAACACTTTGTTTACTTTGTTTAAATCTTAACAACTGAATTATGCAGAAATTTTGAAAAAAGGGTGGAAGTCCCCTTCACAGTAGAGGCCTTTGAGAAGAGGCTACAAAGTGTGAAACAGTATGTCCATACTTGCTGAGCAGTAGTGGCAGTCTGTAGCAGTCTCTGCTCTTCCCACAGACAGCGGGCTACAATGCGGGCGATCTCCATGGGCTTCTCTAGGTACTTGCTCTGCAGGTGCTGTTTGATGCGTCTCAGGTTGTGCTGGTACAAAACATTGTTCTCCTGCAGGAATCGGCTATACTGCTGATCGATCTCTCCCAGCAGGTTATGAAACACCAGCGTGGCGTGGGACTCCTTATTGGCTGCATATGCCCTGTGGAGTCAGAGCAGGAGGTGTGATTAAGACTAGAAAGCCAGAATTAAAGCCAAAGTTCAAGATCAAAACTGACAACTCCTTTTCCCACATTGCTAAAACCATGACATCTCTCCATACTGTATTTGGGATCTAGTGGGTTGTTCTTGAAAGAGAAACAAGTATTTATATGCCAGAGCACCTACACATCACACCTATGTTAATAAGGGATTTTGTGTATTATTTGTGTACTGTGCAGTATTTATTCACAAACTGTCAGCTGTTTTGTGTCTGCTGTATTCTAATGTAGTTTTTTAGATGCATTTTCACTGGTGTATGTTTTAGTTTTTGTTTTGAATTTACACTGAACAAAGTTTTCCACCCACAAACATGATGTTTTGAGTGAGAGGAGAAAACAAAAACCCAACCTTCTATGCGGACTTTCCCCCAGAAAACCCCAAAACCTAAAAACTGCTTCTGCTACTGATGTAACATCAAAACATCATCTACGCTTTCAAAGTTTCTGCCTTGTTTTGATGATGAATATGTCACATTTACAATGTCTTCACTTACTCAACACAAATTCTAAACTGCTGACTTCATCTCGCTGCGGTGCAAGCACCGTGACATCTAACCTTTCACTCTATTTTACACTCCATAAATAGAAGCACATCTTATTTGTTCTCTGCACTGACAACTTACAGAACCTGAACCAAGAAAATTCAATTCACAGTTAAAATAAGTACGCATGCATCTATGACTGCTGTCATGGAAAAAAACTTATATCTCCATTTTTATCTTTTTTTTTTGGCTAAATTTCATAACACCTGATACATTTTGTTTTGTGTTAAAATTTCATGAGGAACCTACAAACATAGAAATGGTCCAAAATGACTTGAAAAATGTGACTTGTTAAATTGTCTTCCATTAGAAGTTAAGTAGGTTTTTTCCTTTTCCTGTAAAGTTTCCATTTTGGAGATACAAGGTTTCGTTCCAAAGGGCGATGACATATCACTGTTGTCGGAACAAAACGTTGTATCTCCAAAATGGCAACTTAACAGGAGAAGGGAAAAAAATACTTTACTTTTAATTTAAGTCAATGGAACCAGACATTTTTATAAGTAATTTTGGGCTGTTTCTTTTTCTTTCAACAGGCATTTTCAAATTGTGACAAAAACTGAAAAACAACAAAAATGGAGATACGTTTTGTTCCGACAACAGTGATATTTCATATATATAAATATATATATATATATATATATATATATATATATATATATATATATATATATATATATATGCAGAAACATTCCTATTAATTTGCTGAGTTTAACATATTGGAGAAAATAAAACATTACACGTTAAACATATCATATCTTTTGCACATGCCACATTTTTTTTCCAATACATTAAAATATGTGCCAATATGTATTGCGTTATATATATATATACATATATATATATATGTATATATATTTACAAAAGTTAAGGACATTTTTTCTTCTCCTGAAAAGCCTAACATAAGGTTTTGTTCTGACACCAACAATAGTTTATTCATGTGGAAATAAATGCATATCTGAATGAAGCAAATTCATGCATCACTTTTTTCAGTGTACAACTGTATAATACTTGCTAATCTAGTGCTAGCATATTTACATCGAACACTTTTGTGGTTTAGTCTTCATTAATGTAGCTAGCTCATTAGCACAGGAACACTATGACCTCATTTACAGTAAAGCACCAGTTAAAGCGCACACTTCAACGTACGTTAGACACCAAAATTTAGTGTGAACTGAGCTGCAGAGTGGAACTGACACATCTAAACTTCAGTTTTGTGAAAACTCACTGTTTTTTGTGTCCATTTATCTTTAGCACAAAGTCACATCAAATATGCAGGTCTGCTCAATGCCTCTACATCATTTGGCAAAACTTCCAGTTTGTAGAAAGTGAGATCATTTATTTTGAAGTACATTTGAAACGTTACTGTTATGTGCAGAGTAGAAAGAATAAACATCCTTTGCATCTTTGCCATGTTTTTCTCTTTTTTGACAGTGAAACAAACAGAAAAGAGTTACACAATCACGTAGACTCAAAGATGTCAATAGAGAATGTAAATGTAATGCACTTTGTAAAAAACTATGCAATTATAGTAATTACTGTGTTACTACATAATTACGTTTCAAGTATGACAAAGCAGAAGTATTAACTTTCGACTTCTAAAGGTTTATTTCATTTCATTTCATTTAATATTTAATATTTAAATAGAACTTGGTCATACAATATAAGCAGGAAACAGAGCTGGAACAATATTCCATTATTTTCCAGTTGAGAACACACAGAGCATACAGCACAAGATTTAGAGTCCATCCTCTAAACAAATGCCAGAACCTGATCCAAGCAAATGGAAAACCATTCAATCCGTCGAACGAATGTTTATGTACTACGGACACTCGACTACAAACAAGACAGTGAGAGACAAAGGCTTTGGCTGCGTTAGTATAAAAGTGATTTAACATCCCAAAAACTATGAGAAATCAAATACGCGCCCCAGTCTGCTGCCTACATACCACTACTTGTTTTGGGTTCCTAATCGATCACTGTGCAGTCCTATGAAGGCTGTTTTCATGGTACACATGATCAATACATCAGTTCTGTTCAAGACACAGCTATTCTACTATAAGGGTCCAGTTTAGGGTCCAAACTCATGAAAACTTTCTTTTTTAAATCTTGAATAACTGTAAAAAAGCTTAAGCTTAAACAGTTAAGCTTTCATTACAGAGGTTGAAACATATCAGTATCAGCAGATATTTGCTTAAAAAAACATTAGCCGAATTGGACAAATGTTTAGATGACCGATATTTCACACCAATATCTGATGATGTGTTTATTGTACTCTGGAACAACAGAAAGTTCCTGTGATGTTGGGCTTCTGCGCTAAAATGTCTGTATTTCATTCATTTTACTGCATTTGTAACCACATAGAAATAAACATTAGATTTCTCTGCAATGCTTATCCAGATTAGCCCAAATTTCTACACTTTAAAAATGTTTACGTATCAGCATCAGCAAATATTTACATAAAAAATATTAAATATCGGCATAGACCAACAATTCCTATAGAGGTGCATTCCTACACTACACGTCCACAAAGTCTGTAAACACCTGCTCATCCAACATTTCTTCTAAAATCAAGAGTATACATAGGGAGTTTGTGCTTCTAATCCTCTTGGAAGGCATTACATTAGATGTTTTAATACTGCTGTGAGGATTTGACTGCATTCAGCCACCAGAGCATTAGCGAAGTCAGGTACTGAAGCTGAATGATTAGTTCTGGATCACTCCAACTCATTCTAGGGGTGCTTTATGGAGCTCCTTCACTCCAGGAACACAGCTTCACTGCTCTGCTCAGCGCTGGGAGGCTTTATACCCCTCTAGCCAACGCTTGGAAATCAACAAGGTAACCTTCGGCTTATGTGCACCTGATTTAGAGTCCCATTCTATTGTCAATGCTCTTCTATGGAGATTACACAAGCTGTGTGTGTGCAATTGAACACTTGCATCAAGAGGTGCACCCAAAGGTAGCTGAGTTCACTAATTATAAGGGCTGTCGGGATACTGCCAGACATATATTGTATATTTTTATACTGTTATTTTCCCAGCAACCTCTGAGTCGTGGATATTCTGTTTGCCTTTCATGGTACAAGGGTTCTGAAACATAAACAGAACTGTGTTGCACATTGTGTCAGTAATTTTAGAGATCTGGCAGCATTGATTCTGTTCCAAAGGTATGAGATTTTGGATTTTTTTCTTTGAGGTTTTTTAACCCTCCATTGCATTAATTATTACTTAGACATGATAAAAATGTTTTAATGTGTGTTTGTTATTTAAAATGGTTTAAATAACGGAAATATTTGAAATAATTAATAAAAATTAAGTGGGGTATTTGGTAAATTGTTGCCATATGGCAACAATGCGCGATCACACCATAGCACCATAAAATCTAAAAAAAAAAAGCATCATAAAATGAAAATTTTCTCTTATTCTCTTACTCATCCTATTATTGAAAACAAGACCAAACGCCTCAAACCTACATTTAGTGACATGTACGACCCAATATTTACAAATACTGTAAATTAACACAATGTCAATTGGTATTTGGAATGTATGGCAATAACAATATCTTAATAAGAATTCCTGGTCATGTGATGTCAAAAAGTATTTCTCCTTTCAAAGTAAAAGACCCTTTTTCCTCAATTAAATAGGAAAACACAGATTTTATATTAATGCATTTTAGTATGGCAACACCATGCAACAGAGGGTTAAGCCGTTCAAAAACTGCCATTCAAAACCCATTTACTGTTGGAAACAAATGCAACTGACAACATGCTATTTAGCTAACAGTCTGGAGAAGTAAAAAAGAAAATTAATTATTTGGATCGCACATGGCATTAAGACCAAAACTGGCACCTCAGAATAGAGCTCCAAAACATTGACAATTGTGCAAATGTTCTTACTGTTTAGAGTATTTTAATTATCAAATATACCGATTACGAGAAGCTGGATGAGAAAAGTTCAAGACGTGTTTCTAAACTACTTATTAAGCTAACAAAGAGTATTTCATGCATGAACTTCCTACAAACCTGTGTTTCTTACAGGAAAGCAATTTTTCTACACAAGGATGGAATGAATTCAACTGAGGGTGCCATTCAAAGAATAAGGAAGTGCAGCTGAAACTCTCTCTTTTATCTTGTAACTGCTGTCAAGCATACATGTATTTGTGTGACAACGTAACCTCCTTTAATAACAACTGGGTGGCTGGATGCCAAAATAAATCACATTACGTGGAGTGAACTCTGCTTCCTGTAAAAGCAGGTTAGGGTTCAAGTGCGGTTTGAGACTTTCTAAACTCCTGCAGAGCCACTAACGTTTACTGGCACCACAAACCAAATCTACAGATCACTCATACCAAAAAAACACATATAACACTGTGTTAGGATACGTAAGAGCACTGAAAAAGTGATGCTCTGAATTTGCTTGATTCAAACATGTACAAGAACAACCATTTCCACATCATTTCTACTTGAACAGATTATATTAGACCAACACAAGTGCTGTCAAAAATAAGCAAAGTGATGTGTTGATGTAATATATTTCACTCATTGTTGGAATGAGGTAAACTTTTGAATCAAGCCAATTCCCATCCGTTTTAACACTGAATCTTAATATAAATAAGTAGTGTTGTGCTGATGCGTTAGGATGTGTACCAGTCTTGGCTTTCGATCCAGGGGGCTAGAAACTGGCGGAGCTCCATGGGGAAGCTGTCACTGTACAGATGGTACAGCTGCTCCAGGTAGCGCGTCTCCAGCTGCTGCAACTGGTTCCACTGGGCCATGTTGACCTGTGAGGGGGAGATGAACATAATATAAAATTTCACCATTCTCAGGAACGTTTCCGCTTTTACCAGGCTATGAATACCTACAACCCAATATATAACAATTCACAAATATAAAATCTGATTCAATACGATGGCATGGTATTCAGTACGGTGGTATCTCAATTCTATATATTTTTTATTCTAGCAAAACAGCTAAAACGTTAATGTTTTAATTTGCAGTTTATTAGAGCAGCCAACATTATAAAAGTAAAGTTTTCAAAACAAAGGTTGAGCTTTATAATGTTCTGTTCTAACCGCACGCTAATATGTTAGCCACAAGATAACATGCTAGTCATGATATAATACAACACGACAAAATATGATGCACTGCATTGTGCAAGCACATTAAAAAACAGTGTTCCTGTGTGTCTTTGGTGGGCTGAACGGTTTGGAGACAAGATCTAATTGCACTTTTTCTGACCAACATTGTGATCGCGATCTAAACTGTGATTATTACATGGCCAAAAATTTACATTATTGTTAAGGTCTACGGCAGAGCTGTTCTCAGCCAAGATATAGTCAAGTCATTTTCCTGGTAAACTAACATGATCTGCACCAAAAATCTGCTAAATTTTGGAAATCAGGACACATATGTGGCTATACTTGGACAAAGTGATGTGACAAGTAGTACAGTTCTTTTTTTTCTCCTCCTCTTCGTTCTTTTCTCAGGTACCTTGTGCTGTTCCTGTATGTGGATTCTGTGTGTACTGTCTTGGTGAACAGTGATTTTATTGCAACCTTGAGAAACCCCCCCAAAAAATAAATACATAAAAAAGAAAAATAAGAAAACCAGCATATAATTTTTAAGACTTAAGGCTTAAGCACTGGCTTAGGCACTGAACAAAGTGGGCAAGACAGCCGGTTAGTTGTAGTCGTGTTGTACATAGTACATGGAGGTTTGGTTGCTTTAGATCATTGTAACTCATCCACAGGCAGTTCAGACAGTGTTAAAACAGTGTTGTTAACAATATACGTTACAATTAAAACTGCAGCTCTTGCGATTTGAAAATCTTTCAAACTGTGAATATAAACATGATTCATCTGTCAACATTAATCACTTTGAGCACTTTAATTACAATGTGAGACACAACTGTAGTACCAATTGAAAGTTCAGAATCTGCACTTTCAACAGTATTGCTTCGCTTTTCCAACGAGCCATAAGTGAGAAATAATTGATGTAACATTACACCTTTGGTTAAAGCAGAAATTAACTGTGACTTCCAAGCGTTCAACCCTCCTCAAAAGCGCTGAGGGGAAACACAGTGCTGTCTGAGGAGAAACACCACACAGCCGTTCTGCTGAAGCACCATTAGAGCTCCGATCAATGGCAGCCGATCAGACAGCAGCAGGAGCATCCGCTCTCAGAGGAAAACCTCAAAACCCAGAGGCAGAGACACCGTTGGTTTCTGTCCAATCCTGCTACCCATCAACACACATACACACATCCTGTTCAACACACACGGGTCTGCTTACCCACCCACGCAAAAACACAGAGTCTACATACAAATCTGTACACGCCAGCATGTACCTGCAAAAACGGTCTTCTAAAACACACAAGACTGCACAAATATGCAAACATGCATAACACACTTTCACCTTCTTTCAAGTTGCTGAGCCACAGTGGGCTTCAATGCCGCCATGCAGGCTGTAAAAAGAAAGCAGACTGTCAGTCACCACTTGTGAACTGCTGTGACCATTCTTTCCAAACACCGCTTCTACATTTTCCAACTCTAACAGAAGAGCCTCCCCCAGGCACTCAGGAAGCCACAGCCTGTCAGAACATTGCTGTGTGAGTTCATTTTACTTTTTATACCCACCAGGCCTGACCAATACGACTTTTTAGGTTCATTATGGCACAGCAAATTTTTTTCGTTCACTTTTTATTTTGTGCCACGCTGGTATGACTTCTGCTCATTTGGGCCACACTGGTATGGCTTTGTATTTTCACTAAGACTCTACCAATATGAATTTTAGTTTGTTTGCTAAGGCCTAACCACTATGATGTTTAATGTTCGTTGGGCAAACATTAACTTTCTATTTAAATTAGGGCTCAATACATGTTTCATTTCAACGTACTGTATATCCATTTACAACAATTTTGGATGTTAAGAGTTTTTGAAAAGAGTAATGATACATAATGCTGATATATAATGGAAAACACATCATTATTTCTGTAATAAAGGTGGTAGTAACCATTATATATCATGTTTCTTGTATGTGTAAAGCCCAATCTCAACAACATATATCATGAAAAAATTTTTACAGTGGCCTATAAAGTGTTTTGGAACTAAACCCTTCAAATATTATTTTTTATGATAACTTGGGCTCAACAAATTTGTCTTTTTATGTTCAACAGGGCCCAGCTGACATGACTTTCATGTTCACTATGGCCTGACTGGTATGACTTAAATTTTCACTGGGATTTGACAAATATGGCTTAATGAGTTTATCTTGGTCCAACTGATATGACTTTGTATGTTCAGTATGATTCAAACAATGTGACTTCTTTCCTATGTTCATTAGGGCCAGTCCTGTATGACTCTTCATGCCCACACCGGAATGACTTTTCAAGATGATACAACTTTTTTATGGTCACTATGGCCCAACCGATATAACTTTCATGTTCACTAGGACCTGATCCATATGACGTTTTCATGTTTGCTAGGGCCCATTCGATATGATTTTCATGTTCACTAGGGCCTGACCCTGACTGTGTACGGCTCGAGCGATATGAGTTCTTTTTTGATGTGTATATGTTCATACGCACAACCAAAATGACCTTTTATGATTGTTAGGGCTTGAAAACAGTCACTAATACTGATACTAATTTTAAGGACCTACGATTTCCAATAACTAATATAATTTAGTTATATTTGGCATAATTTGGTGTTTAGCTTGTATTGCTGTAACAGAAGTAAGCAAGTGGTCACTGTTAGCTTAACAGCTTTTATAAAGACCAGAACTGAATGGTTTTTCTCACATTATATGTGTACAATTTAAAATAAAATATGACGTGTTGTATTAGCGGGTTTTACGTCGATACAGATAAATCAGCAGGAACTCAAAATCAGCTAATATTATCGCCACCATTATATACTGGTCAGGCCCTATAGTTCATACTCACATGAACAGATGGTGTGACTAACATAATGAACATCTGCTGACTCCTCTAGTGGCTGAAACAGAAAGTCATGTCTTGAGGACCTCGTCATTGGACAAGTAACAGATGACTTCCTTATTGACAGCCCTGCTGTTATGCAGGATTATGTTCCTGTGTGCCTGAAAAGCATTGCTGCTCAACCGGCTTAAACAAATGGCCTTGGCTCATATTGCAGTAGCAATGGCCAAGAGTAATGGCTTATGAACGCAGAAATGCAGGAGGAACAATTACATTCTCCCTCAAGGGAGGAATAATCATTTGCAATCATCTGGCAACCCTTCTCAGCGTTCAATATCACCTTCCTTAAAAGAAGGAACCAAGACTGGAGATGGCCCTTGGAGATCTGGTCAGCATCAGCTTTCAGACAATAGCCTAGTTGCATAACAGACAGTGCAGTGGGGATGAATCTAACAGACAGTGAGAACTGTTTGTATTTTGTTGATGTTCCCCACAGCAATTTGCTCTCTTTCCACAGTATGAGGTGAGGCTGAGGTAGCATGGATAAAGAGCGAGAAAATGTCACAGAGGAGGAGTGAGGTTTTGAAAGGTAAGGTAGAATGAGGCTAGAATAGACGGCGGAGCGCTGGGGGACAGCCTCCTTAGGTGTGAGAGAATGCTGGTTGAGGTTTTGAGGCAGATTTTGCACCTTTACCTCTCATTGAGCACATGAGCTTTAAGCACATGGTTAACACTGAGTAACAGGGTTAACAAGGTTTCTTGTCTTTGTGGAAAGGTCTGACTTCCAGAATACTGAATTAATGCAACGATATTTGTTCTAGAACTGAATCCTCCGGCATTTTCAACCAAACCAAATTATTTAGCAAAGAACAGAAAACAGCTCACTCAAAATACACTTACATTAGAAGTCAACAGGATGATGTTTCAATATTGGCTTCAATTATTAAAAAAGCCTTTCTGATCTTTTAGTAAGTACATGGAAATGTAACAAGATAATTACCTGCAGTAACAGTGCATGTAGTACAGATCTGCGTAGTTCTGTAGAGTATTCCTTTAAAGACCCCATTTCTACATTTTTCTTTTATTTTATCTTTTCACCAGTCCAGTCAGGTTTTACGCACCAAAACAGTTGTTGTCACTGTGCCTTTAAGGCTACTATATATAAATTATCTCTGATCTGACTGGCTGTCCTGTATTGTGCTTGATTCACAAAGCTGAAACACTCCTTATTACTTCAGACTGAATGGCAGAGCTAAACTGTTATAGGCTGATTAGGTGGATATATGCAGGACTGGGTAGTAACGGAATACATGGAACGGCGTTACGTATTTAGCATACAAAAAAAGGTAACTGTATTCCTTTACAGTAGCAGAAAATAAGACAGTAATCAGATTACAGGTACATTATAAAAACAGAATGATTACCAGCAGGTAAGTGCAAACTCACCTTCCTGCCATGTCTAATCTCAAACAAATTATACTGTTACACAAATTTGTCATCATTATGTTTGTAATATATCCGTACAGTATCCTTAGTAGATTTGGCCGGTTCGCTAAATGTGAGATCAGTGACCGTTTCTGTAAGGCACAATATTTAAGTCACTTATAATCTATTATTCTGTTTCATAAAACAGTGCAGTTTTTGTGTTTAGTGTGCTTTATGTTAAATTCTTGTTAAAAAAGGTCTTGTTGAAATAATTTTTCTCTTTATTTATTTACTTATGCATCTGTAATTAAAGACAAGTAATCCATAAGTAACAGAAAGTAATCAGATTACATTACTTTAATATAGTAATCCTTTGGATTAAGTTACAATTCCCCTTTTTAACAGGTAATCATTACTCTAT